TCAAAAAAAAATTTCAAAGTGAACTATCCCGTTTTATTTGTTTATTTTTCTTATTTATTTTCCAATTACTTCATTAATTATTTATTTCTAATTTGTATATATATATATGTAGGTAGGCCTATATAATTTTTATGTATTTATTTGCATTTTTTATTTATTTTTCTTATTTGTTTATTTATTAACTTATTTGTTTGTTGATCTATTTGCTTCTTTATTATTATTCTTTTAATTTATTGTTTATTTATGTTTGATTTATTTATTTTTCTAAATCTTTTTTATTTTTTAAATTCTTTTTATTTATTTTTCTAATTTATTTATTTTCTGATTTATTTGTTAATTTTCTAATTTATTTATTTGCACATATATACACACACACACACACATATATATATATATATATATATATATATATATATATATATATATATATATAAAATATTTTTCTTATTTGTGTATTTAATTTATTTATTTACGTTTTAATTGTATTTATTTTTCATATTTATTTATTTATCAACTTATTTGTTTCTTGGTCTATTTTTATTTTATTTTATTTACATTAGATTTTATTTTTCTAAATGCTTTTGTATTTTTTATTTTCTGATTTATTTGTTTATTTTTCTTATGTATTTATTTGTCAAGAATAGTGGGAAAGTCCACTGACTTACACCATCACAAAAGATACAAACAGTCACTGATACTCACGGAAGACACATATTATGAATTTCTATTTCTGTAAATTCAGTTATTTATTCTTGTAGAATCTCTGTAAATGTCTGTTATGTCAAACCGCTTCATCTGGAAGGATGGTACTAAATAAATGTCCAGTTTATGTCAAACACATTTGAGGAAAGAGAAAATGTTGTTTCTTACAGAGCTAAACCCCTCGTCGTCATGCAGTTCTGTTTTTATGAACGTTGCGCTGGGAATTATACCTGAAATGAGAAAACAGCTGCAGTTTTACATGACAAGTGTCATGATGTTAAGGATCTTGACGTGCGTTTGTAAGCGCACAAACGACCGGCAGTGATTGAGACTCAATTAGAGCTCATTGTTGCTTGAGCACGTCTAGAACAATAAGCCGCTCGCGGCAGCTGCTCGCAGAACGTTTACATCTTCTTCATGATTGACAGCGGAGTCTGTCTGGAGCAGAATAAAGAGACCGAGAGATTGCTGACGGACAGACGACTGGTGGTTCAGGTCTGTCTCACACCACTGCAAAGCCCCTGTTTCTGCTCACTTTTAAAAAGGTCACTTACATGTTCATGTTGCAAATGCTGGCATGTCAGGAAGAGAAAAATGCCATTTAGCTCGAGCGACTGCATGACATTTCACTTCAGTTTCTGTTTAACAGTTAAACAGCTTCAATCTGAAGAGTCAGCTTTTCTTTGCCACGCAATTCAAACTCTTTATTACAATATTGTTTTGTTGTATTTTTTATAACTTGATACATTTAAACATACTGAATACTCTTGTCTATCTATCTATCTATCTATCTATCTATCTATCTATCTATCTATCTATCTATCTATCTATCTATCTATCTATCTATCTATCTATCTATCTATCTATCTATCTATCTATCTATCTATCTATCTATCTATCTATCTATCTATCTATCTATCTATCTATCTATCTATCTATCTATCTATCTATCTATCTATCTATCTATCTATCTATCTATCTATCTATATTCATTTGACTAAATTCTTGATTTCTTGCCAGTTTATTTCTGCCTATAACACTATCCATTGGCCATCACCATCGCACACCTGCAGGCGACAGGTGCGTGGGAAAAACGTAGGTAAAAAAACAAGAACTCCCGCACACTATCAATACTTCCAAATGAGTATCAAAATTTTATTAGCCACGTTTCGGCCTCACGACCTTCATAAGGCATATGATATGCCTAGATAACACAGAAATCTGTCCCTAGCAACACAGCTCACATTTACTTCACTGCGGTTACTGTTAGTGTTAGTTGGGCAATAAAGGAACATCGATGAATTGACGTTTTACATGTAATGGCTCTCGAACCAACCAGAGAAGCTGAAGGCGGTTTGGTGAAACCCGGCCCATGTAAGCGAACCAGTGACTCAGCCTGGACACTGAATATTTAGGTCATTAGAGGCGGTTCACTGGGATGTTTTGCCTCTGAAAGGCCGGTAAATTTTTAATCTGAGGGGCCGCGCTTACATGACATGCTCGTCTGGGCCTTTTGTGGTGCTGACAGTCCGAGCGGCAATGGAGTGGCCGGTAGGTACGCACTGTTTAGATTAATGCTCGTGTGTGTGTGTGTGTGTGATAGAGATGTACCGTCGGCTGTAATACAGTAGCTGAGAGAACGCTGGATCGATGTCTGAACTCACAGAGGTAGAGATGAAAGTCCGACCCTTGCAGGGAATGCGCACCGCACTAAACAACTTTGAAGAAAAGCAACAGGAGACTGGCTTGTAGATTTGTATGAACATGGACATTCACTTTTGTCGAACCCTTTACCGGCATGCATTTGTCTTCACTGCAAACGATATTTTCTTGTTCTTATTTGAAGTATTTTTATCATGTTTTTTCATTTAAGGCGAAGCACTACAGGTCAAAAATGTGTTTTATTCCATGCACTGGTCATTTTTAAGGTTTGGTCTATTTTGCTTCAGACTAGTGGAAAGAAAACATCTAAACTACATATTAGTGTTTATTTTATTGCACTTTGCGTCTGTAGATTTCAAAGACGATACGTAGCCTAAGCCTGTCTTTAAAGGCTGAGTTTTTTCAGAAATCTCCACTTCAGCAGCTTTACATACACTAAACTGTGCAGTTATTCATATCCATATTCTGAAGGTTTGTTCATACATCATTCGCCTGATTTACGTAAAATTGTATTCCTAAAAACATGATGAAAATGTATTTGTTTTCTGGCTGTTGACAGTATTTTCTGATTGATAAAAACGGTGTGATAAAAAGAGAGATCACAATCCCCTCTGTAAAAAACTTTAACTCTCAAGATGTTGAACAAAATCAAACAATAATTTTGAATCTGGCATTATTCAATGTTTATTCATTTCTGTTCTGGAAATAAATACAATATAATTGCATATTTTTAATGCATCGTTTGCATAAGTAAACATAACATTTCAGAAAACTTGTAATGCAAAAAATGCTTGCAATTCTTACTGCAATCAATCAACTGGAGAAGTATTGTGATATCGATGATTGTTTTTACCATATAACTGGTGTCCTGCCTTAACCCTCTGGGGTCTGAGGTGTTTTTGAGGTCCTTGAGATGTTTTGACATGCCCTGACATTTGTGCTTATTTCAGCTACTTAAAACATACATACCATTTGCCAACATATAAATTTGCTGTATTCAGCACAAACTCTGCTACAATAATATGTGAGCAAAATGGATGTACATGTTTGCATTTTATAGAAAAAAAATATTATGCGTGGTTAGTACGTTTTGGGGAAAAAAATGTCACCGCAATAAGGCCATTTAACACCTAGTTGTCCACAAGACTTTTGAGTTACTATTCTTGTAGGCTAGAATTTTTACTTCAAAATGAAGTGAAAATCATTCTGACCACTCTTTCACAAACAACAATACAAAAAGAAAACAATACAAAAATACAAAGATGCTTAAAATGAGATTTACGTTACTTTTACTACAAAATTGTGCAAGATTATTTTTTCTTACCACATTGTCGAAAGTTTTTTTGATTGTTGTTGTTGTTGTCGTTTTTTTTTATCATAGAACTCACTAAATTTGGTTAGGTTTATGTTAGCTTGTGATTGGTGTACTCTGCTCTGATTGGTCAGATGGCCCGGTCTGTTGTGATTGGTCCACTCTGCTCTGATTGGTCAGATGGCTCGGTCTGTTGTGATTGGTCCACTCTGCTCTGATTGGTCAGATGGCTCAGTCTGTTGTGATTGGTCCACTCTGCTCTGATTGGTCAGATGGCTCATTCTGTTGTGATTGGTCCACTCTGCTCTGATTGGTCAGATGGCTCTGTCTGTTGTGATTGGTCCACTCTGCTCTGATTGGTCAGAAGGCTCAGTCTGTTGTGATTGGTTTACTCTGCTCTGATTGGTCAGAAGGCTCAGTCTGTTGTGATTGGTTTACTCTGCTCTGATTGGTCAGATGGCTCAGTCTGTTGTGATTGGTCCACTCTGCTCTGATTGGTCAGATGGGTCTGTCTGTTGTGATTGGTCCACTCTGCTCTGATTGGTCAGAAGGCTCAGTCTGTTGTGATTGGTTTACTCCGCTCTGATTGGTCAGAAGGCTCAGTCTGTTGTGATTGGTTTACTCTGCTCTGATTGGTCAGAAGGCTCAGTCTGTTGTGATTGGTTTACTCTGCTCTGATTGATCAGATGGCTCTGTCTGTTGTGATTGGTTTACTCTGCTCTGATTGGTCAGAAGGCTCAGTCTGTTGTGATTGGTTTACTTTGCTCTGATTGATCAGATGGCTCAGTCTGTTGTGATTGGTCTACCGCATACAGCGCTTGTCAGAAACGAAACACCTTTTATCATATCTGAATTTCAGCTCCGGAGGCTTCCTCAGCACTTGATACACAGTGAGACACAAATCCAGCGCAAGTCTTCATCCTTTAGAAGTGCATGCAAAGTGGAATTGCAGGGCTGAAAACAGCTACTTCTTGTTGACAACACGAACCAAACTCTTCCAAGTCTCCGCTACAACTACAGTGTTTGAGAGGGGGTCAAAGAATACGTTCACAGGCAGCCAATGAAGACCATACACTGGCATTATGCACATTTGTTACATTGTTTCGTAGGTGTGTAGCAGGAAGTGAGATGGAATTGCTGACGACCCGTTTCAGGCAGTTCAGAATCAATTCTTTCTTTTAGGAGACAATAGCTATCTTTTCTTACACAGTTTTGCTTTCAAGTAAATGTATCCTGTTTTAAGGATATTTCTCCTGAAAAATGATGCGTTTTTTTCAGTGTTTAAGTGCTGATGTCTAAGACGTTCTTCTCCGCTTCTTCTCAGATATGTGTCACCAAGATGTCCACTCGCAGCTGCCAGGGATCCGACTCAGTCATCAAACCCCTGGACACCATTCCTGAAGACAAGAAGGTGCGAGTGCAGCGGACGCAGAGCGGGTTCGATGCCTTCGAGAAACCGGCGAGTCAGGTGAAGCGGGTCCACTCAGAGAACAATGCCTGCATCACCTCCAAAAGCTCCTCCTCTGGGAAAGAGTCTCCAAAACTACGCCGTCACTCCAGTCCTAGTTCTGTGAGTGTCTGAGTGTGTTTTCTTCCATAATTTATGTCTTATTTGTGCTTATTAAAGTTTATGACGGAATGAGCAAATTCATGCCTAATTTGACATTGCTAACAGATCATGATTGTCCTTGATAAGCCCCATTTATAAACCTTTATGTGAGGTTTGAAATGTGTTTTGATTGTAGAAATTTTTATCACATACAACAGGGATTACCAATTTTTTTCCCCAGCCAAGCCCCTTTGAGCTAAAAATTTCTACTTGAAGTCTCCCAGAGGGTTAAAGTTAATATAAAAAAAAAAAAAGGCAGTCAGTGGTCACATGACATGCAGGTATACAAATAAAATATTTAATTATTTTTTATTTATTTATATTTTAATTGATTTAAGTGTTTTATTTAGATTTTTTTCTTTTAAAATTATTTAAATTTCACGGTACATTTTTACTTTTTTAGTGAGGGTTTTACTTTAAATTTATTTATTTTAATGTTAATTTTTAATGATTTCATTCCTTTTTGGTAAGTGTTTTTTTTTTTTTTTTTTTTTTTTTTTTTTTTTACATTATGATTTTATTCATATTTAGTAAGGGTTTTTATTTAGATTAGTTTATTTTACAATTATTTATTTTATTAATTCAAAAAAAATTTATTTAAAAAATATTTTAATATTGCATTATGATTTTATTTTACACTATTTTCATTAACTCACTTTGTTAAACCCTGACATACAGCATTTTGTATGATTATTATATTTATTGCAATTTAATTTAGAAAAGACGAGTTGATTTTTATAGTGTATAATTCCCTAAGCGAGACCGGATTGACCTGAGACGGAAAACTAAAGGTTGGAGGGTTTGAAGAATGCAGCTAGCGAGCACATTTGCTTGCTGATTCACACCAATGAAAAATGGATGAGCGTAAGCCTGACAGAAGGAGTGGAGAGAGTGAGTGTGACCTCTTTCCCATAACACCCTTCTCATTATTCTGCTACAGACCTTCTTATTTAGAAAATCCACTAAAACCTGTTCTCCACGGGGTCCCTGCACTCCCAACACCTTAATCACTATCATAAAGACCCGCTAAGGTAATACCAGCGCTGTAAAGCGAAGCTGATGGATTGGAGAGCGGATGTGTTCACTGAAAGCGTGTCGTGATCTGGCCGTATGGTGGCCGCTGGTCTCTAAGAGACAGCTGGTGTCTGGTGTTGATAAAAGGCTGCAGGGTTTGCGGTTACAGGCGCATCTGAGCAAGCGGTTATCCGGGAACAGTCCGGTAATCTTTCACACCAATCGCAATAAGTGACTCGCTGCTGCAGATCGGTGTCAGGCTGCAAACCTGATTACTGAAGAAACGCTGCATTTCAGGAGAATTAGTGCCGTGTGCTTTGCTCTTCAGGACTTTAGAGTTGCATTCTCGTTAATGCAAGTACAATATTACTGTATTGGTTTGGAAAAGAGATGTTTTTTTGAGTTGCATTTGCTTTAATGAAAGTAAAATATTACTGTATTGGTTTGGAAAAGACATTTTTTTTTTTGAGTTGCATTCTCTTTAAAGGGATAGTTCACCCAAAAATGAAAATTCTGACAGTAATTACTCGCCCTCATGTTGTTCAAACCCCGTAAGACTTTCGTTCATCTTCGGAACACAAATTAAGATATTCTTGATGAAATCTGAGAGCTGGATCACTCCTCCATAGGCTTCTTAAGGGATCGAAACTGGCCGGCCCAAAAGTTATTAAAGACATCGTTAAAATAGTCCAAGTGACTACAGTGGCTCAATCTTAAGTTTATCAAGCGACGAGAATACTTTTTGTGCGCAAAAAACAAACAAAAATAACGACTTTATTCCACTAATCATTTCCTTCTCTGTGGGGCTCAACATTTCACGTAGTGTAACAGCGCAGCGCTTCTGTGTTGTACGTCACACGCATCACACACATGACCAGCGTCGGCCAATAGTGAGCCTACGTGTGACGTACAACACAGAAGCGCTGCGCTGTTACACTACGTGAGCTCACTCGAGGCCCACAGAGAAGGAAATGAGTAGTTGAATAAAGTCGTTATTTTTGTTTGTTTTTTGCGCACAAAAATTATTCTCGTCGCTTGATAAACTTAAGATTGAGCCACTGTAGTCACTTGGACTATTTTAACAATGTCTTTAACCCTCTGGGGACCAAGAACGCGCCCGCGCGTTTTGCTGTTTTTTTTTTCACATAGCAGCAACATAGACTTAAAATACTCCGTCATTTATGGTCATATAAATAAAATCAATACATGATTATAAACTATAGAGGGTCTTCTTTTTTTGTGTACACTCACATTAACATCAAAACCTTGTGCTTTTTTTTAAATAAATAAAATAAACAGGGTGCGCTTTCAGCTCACTCTGTCTCCGCAAAAATCTTTCTGAAACATGTCTGGAAAATGAACGGAAACTCCGCTAATACTTATCACACAAACATGAAACATACGTCTAAAAAACGCTTTAAATTTCTACTTTTAAATAAAACAATTCACATTTAAAACAAATATTCTCCTGCAATGTAATCTGTCAAAAACTAAAGAGAAGTACAGTTTCTCCTGTCTCAGCTCATTATCGTTAATTTGTTCACACCCACTCGCAGAGCGCGCTATTCATAAGATAATGTGTTGAGGCCATTTGCAAAATAGATAAACGCCCCCAGACAAATGCTGTAAACACACAATATTTTTTAGTCAGATTAAGATTCGTCTTGCGCGGCTATGAGGAATAATCCCGGGACATTTACCACTGGTTTCACTTCGAGGAGGAACAACAGATTGAGCTGAGAAGTGAAAGTGTTTTGTGCTTTGTTCTAATCGCGATATAGAATAACGTTAGTGTCTGTAAACGGACAAATAGCATATCCTACTGTTTAAATGTGAATTATGTTTCTCTCTCTGTGTGTGTGTGTGTGTGTGTGTGTGTGTGTGTGTGTGTGTGTGTGTGTGTGTGTGTGTGTGTGTGTGTGTGTGTGTGTGTGTGTGTGTGTGTGTGTGTGTGTGTGTGTGTGTGTGTGTGTGTGTGTGTGTGTGTGTGTGTGTGTGTGTGTGTGTGTGTGTGAATGAATGAATGAACGCACAGATACGCACTGTTACAGACGAAATAAAAGAACATTTCTTTGACTAGTTTTGGATAAAGTTTTTCAAATCAAATAAGCTTCAAAATAAAGACATCAAATAAGCTTATGTTTTGTCAATAAACTAATCAACTAAGATGTTTGTTCCAATGCAAGCTATATCAAAATAATGAATCCTCAACTTTGAAATATGTATGATCAAACTAAGACATTTATGGAAAAAGACTATTTTTTCTTTTCAAGATGTTTCCAACTCTAACTTTGAACTTTGAACTGAAATAAAACCATGTCTATATGGTGAAGGGTGTGTGATAGAAGTGTCCAGACGTATGCACCCAGTATTTTCCTTATATAAATCCAAACAATCTAAAAGCCATTCTTTTTTAAATCTCCTCATTCTTTGTGCAAGGCTTCTGTAAGGATATGGCCTGATAGCACCTAATAGGGCCATTATGGGGAGGGTCTTTGTCTTTCTCAGGTGTGAAATGCCACACATATTAATGAGAGATCAAGCCCCCTGCATAAAGCTTTCTCAAACAAAACACGTCATTAAAAATGTAAAAGACTTTATTGACTTATCTGAATGAGCAGTCAGGATGATTCTCACATAGTTTTGGAGCAAATATTCTAGGCTATGTGATACAATTTTCAAAAGTCTTGTGAAGAAATAATCAATATGTGTTTTGTGGTCTTATTTCAGCAACTTTCATTTTTATTTTTTTCAATAACCACGCATAAACATTATTCTATTAAAAATACAAACATGTACATACATGTTGCTCACTTATCATGGTAGTCCCGTCTGTGCTATATAGAGTGAATTTACACCTTTGCCATTAACATGTTTATAAATAACTGAAAAAAGCACAAATGTCAGTGCATGTCAAAACATCCCAAGGGCCCCAAAAACACTCTGGTCCCCAGAGGGTTAAAATAAAACCAGATGTTTATGCTGCTGAGTTCCCACAAAAGTGATGTCACTTCCTGTAGGATGATGTCATTCAGGAACTGACTTTTGCGAAAGATTAGGATTTAAAGCGATATGGATGTCACAATGCCTATAATCAATATAGCTTGAAAAGAAAACTATAAATTGATTTAATAAAACGTAGTTTACTTTATTTATTGATTCAGTATTTCCACATATGATATACATCATGGGCTTCACAGAAGGAATGACTCGCGTGATGCAGACGTTCCTCGTTTCACTCACTGAAACCCAGCGTTACTATCTCACTATCTGAGCTTTTTGTTGTGCCCTTGAAAAATGAATCGCATTTTCCAGTCTCGCAAATCTGTTTACTATTCATCATGAAACACGCTTGAAGTGTCGCTCGCTCCTCCTTTGTAGTAAATTGAAACATTCAGAGTGTTTTGTGCTCAAATGAGATGAGATTTCTGGGAATGGCTTGTTCTATGGCGATTGCGTTGTTGTAATTTGAAGAAAATAACACGTCTGATCTGAGAAATATGGAAAACGCTCACAAAAGTCATCAAATTAAATGAATGCTTTGTTGCTGACTTCTGAGGATTCGTGATTACGTTTAATTGCAGTGTTCATGCAGTGTTCGTTAGCTGAAATAATAGACAGGAAGCTTAGCCTGAGGAGCCCTGAGCGCCGTTTCCAGTCCCCAGAGTGCCGGCTCTCTCCATTTCTCACAGATATCCGCTCATCTCCGCCCTACTGGCAGTCTACAGCATGTAAATGATCTGCGGCGGGATTCAGGTGCAGGTACTACTGAGATCTGATCTGGGAACGGTGTCATGTGTAGATGGCAACGGCATTTATGTGCAAATATGGGGAATTCTAGTCATTCTGTCCTAATCAGCATTTTTATTTACTGGGAATCTTTAATAACTTTTGGGCCGGCCAGTTTTGATCCCTTAAGAAGCCTATGGAGGAGTGAGACAGGTCTCAGATTTAATCAAAAATATCTTAATTTGTGTTCTGAAGATGAACGAAAGTCTTACGGGGTTTGAACAACATGAGGGTGAGTAATTACTGTCAGAATTTTCATTTTTGGGTGAACTAACCCTTTAATGTAAGTAAAATATTACTGTTTTTGCTTGGAAAAGATTTTTTTTTTTTTTTAATCTGCATTCATATTAGCATATTTATTCTAAAAACTTAATTATGGACTTGTGTTTTTTGGTGGGGGGTTGAAATGTCAGCGTTCTTTAGATGCATCATAAGATGAATCTTACAAATGTGTCCAAGTCACATGTTTTAGACACAATAGTCCTAAAGGTTTGTGTGTGTATAGAAACTAATGCATGTAAAACTGTGTGTATCAAGTGTGCGTGTTTTTATACACTTTTGCACAAAAATATGAAGCAGCACAACTGTTTTCAGCATTGATAATAATGAGAAATGCAGCAAATCAGCATATTAGAATGATTTCTGAAGGATCATGTGACACTAAAGTCTGGAGTAATTTCAAAGTTTGTATTGCATTTTTGTTCAAAAAAATGCAGCCTTGTTGAGCATAAGAGACTTCTTTTAAAAACATTAACATTACTTATCCCAAACGTTTGACTGCAGTATACATTTAAGATGTTCAAGTATAACATTTGATCTTATAAGGACACCCAGAGAATGTGATTTTTGCGTACATGTAGTTTGTTATTCCTATTTTTTGGGGAGGGGGGGAATTTAGAATAAATTTTAGTAAGAAAGTTATTGATGAATCATGATAAGTTTGCAGATTTCACACACTAATAATTTGTGGAGTTTTTACCTTGAGATTCACTCTAGTAAATGTAACCACAGTTCACCTGTGTTCTTCCAGTCACTGCCAAAGTGCTCACAGTAAAATCCTGCAGACCACATTTCCTGTTGAACAGGAAACTATTAATCACGTCCAGTTGAAACAGCACTGGGTCATTAATACGGGGACACACGTGTCTTTCCGGAAATCCCTGCTGTATAAATCCTGGATCTGACCCAGAATACCTGACCATACGCTGGCTGACCTCACATCTGCTGCGGTCTGGTCTGATCAAATATCACAGAATATCCTCTATTAAAGTCACCATGAAATCAGAATAGAGATTTTGAATTTTTTATGGAATATCGCAGGGTAATGATTCATTTTGTTTTAAATTCATGTACCCTCTTAATCTTTTATCAAAATAACTTCCCCTCCCTCTTACAGCGACATCTCTTCTCTGATGATGTGTTCACTGGCGCGAGGGCGGGGCAAGCTGTCAATCACATGACAATCCACCAATAGCAAACCACAACCATCCAATCAATTCCCAATGGACAAAATCAAGTCCCGCCCGACATTTTTTCTTGTTCGAGATGCAGTTTAACTTGGATACATGTCACAATAGGGGAAAAAGATGATCGCAACTTCCGTTTCGTGCCGACTTTAACTGCGTCTGTCTCTATTACAGCCCACAAGCCCAAAGTTCGGGAAGGCAGATTCCTACGAGAAGCTGGAAAAGCTCGGAGAGGGATCCTACGCAACCGTATACAAAGGGAAGAGCAAGTGAGTTCTGTGCAACCATGCACCTCATTTCCATACAGACACACTGTTTAGTAAAAAAACTGAGAGCAAAGAAGGCAGCAGATAATTATAATATGAATGAAATAATTTTTCATATTGCTGCAATAAAATCCGAGAGCCGGAGAGAGCTTTTCTTCCAGAGCATGAAATGGCACATGTTGTATGAAATCCTTTCAGACAGAGAGCGTGTAACGCTGCTTGTTTTTCCTTGATGATTACTTTTATAAATTTAAATCTGGAAAATAACATTTCAGCCAGCGTGAAATGAATTGTGCATTATTGGCAGTGTTTTTCATAGTAATGATGCTATTGTGTGCAAGTTCTTTTGATTGGTGGAGTTCATTTATTTCTCATCTTGACCTCTGTGTTAAGATTCACTCCACTGCCTCTAAATTGCATTTCATTGACTTAACAGTAAATCAGTAAATTGTGTTCCTGGTCTTAATTTGTGTTCCATTTTATTTCAAACCACACCAAAAGTTTTCATTCATCATCAATCTCTGTTATTAAACAACATTCTGTCATATACAGTAGAGACATTTACACCATCCAGTCAATTCACACGAGATAAAATCATTTCCCATATAGGGCCCAATGAAATATGTTTTCTTTTTTACAACATTCTATTTTCCATTTGAATACAGTATTTCTGGGTTAAATTGCAATCTTCAAAAAGCATGCTAACCAAGTGAATTCATAAAACTGTAACAGTTTAATAATTCATTAAAAATGTAACAATAATAGATCCTTATGAAAATAGTTTCATTTTTTCCCTTTAAACTTTTATTTTATTTTATTTTTCCAAAGTTCTGTGATGTCCGTTACAATTTTTCTGGGTTCTGTAATCTTTATTAACTTTATTAGTAATCAAATATTTTTTTTTTGTATTTTTGTTGTTGAGTAAATTAAATGTATATTATATTTATTTATTATGTATTTAATTTAGGGCTGTCAAACGATTAATCGCGATTAATCGCATCCAAAATAAAAGTTTGTGTTTACATAATATATGTGTGTTTACTGTGTATAATAATTATTAATACATAAATATCCACACATGCATGTGTATTTAAGAAATATTTGCATGTGTATATACTTTATATAGACTGAATGTAGCCTATATATAATGTATATTTTATATAAATATAAACATTTTATATATAAATAACATATTTTTCTTAAATATATACATGTGTGTATTTATATACAAAATAATTATACACAGTACACACACATATATTATGTAAACACAAACTTTTATTTTGTATGCGATTAATCGTGATTAATCGTTTGACAGCCCTAATTTAATTATAATATATTATGTATATTTCTGGGGGGGTTTTTTTACCCTGAATATACTGTTTAACTCTGCTGTATTAATTAATTAATTATTTATATATTTATATATATACAATACATACATACAAATTAATTAATTAATTTATACCTTAAAATGCTATGTAAGTCGCTTTGGATAAAATATATATTTTTTATCAATTCACACATTTCCTGGGAATCAAACCTATGATGTGCTGTTTGAACTATAGGAACAAATATACGATACATTCTTTTTTATGGATCAGTCCTGTAATACAGATGAATATGAAGTGTAAAACATGTCATGTGGTGTGTTTGCAGGGTGAACGGGAAGCTGGTTGCGTTGAAAGTGATTCGTCTGCAGGAGGAAGAGGGAACTCCTTTCACAGCGATCAGAGAGGGTGAGTGAACACGACACGACCTTTCTCTTCATAATGCATGGAGCTCATTTGAGGCGCTAATAAAAACAGTAGCATTTTTAGGGCTGGGTTGAAAATATCGATTTCTCATTTTGATGAACCGGCATCAATTCTTAAATCCCCAGAATTGATCTTTTAATCTGTGCTGTTTTCAGTTGATGCATGAACAAAACTTATTTGCTCTAAAAACCTGCCATCCAATAATCTTTCTACTTTTGATATGAAACATATTCTCAGCTTTCAAATTCTGTCAATTTATTAAGAAATTCAAAGTGACCACCAAATTGGACATTCAGTGACCATAAACTTGATAGTTAGCTAGAAAAATAATTCTAGAGATGAGCATTTTGATAAATATATGCACTATATTACATATTCATTATTTTTAATTCAACCTGTTCTTCAATATTGAATGTACTATGTTTGAATAAATCAATCAGGAAAACAAGTTTTTATGACAGCCACCATTTACATGTTTATATTTCAAAAACCAATTGTGGAAGAGACATAATAATTATAAAAAAAAAAAATAAAAAAAAAAAAAAATTAAACTACCTTATGTGCAATTCAAATGTTCATATACAAATCAGTTGTTAATTTGAACCCTTAATTTTATAGTAATGTACCGGCTGACAGGGTTCCCTGTATAGTTTAGTATTTATTTATTTTTCATGAGGAAAAATGGACATGCACTGTACTTGATATCCAAATTAACCCATATCGAATTGAATCTAATCGCAAGCTTGCGAATTGAAATTGCATCGGATCGTACTTTTTTTTTGTCAATATCCAACCCTAATAATTAAAAAAAATATTTATAAGCATTTTAGTGTGGCCTTCACATAACAAATAATTCCTTACACCTAAAAGTGTCCGCTGTTGCATAGGCGTTTCCACTCTCCAGCAGAGCTCTCAGGGAAGCGGAGCAGATTGTGAAGGTGTGAGATTTTCGCTGCTCTCACCTTCACCACCGTCACATGCATTTTAATTGCGATGAGAGAGTGCTGGTGTGTTTTTGATCTGTGTGATCCGGGGCTGATCATCGCAGAGCTCCTGCGCTCTTCCCCGGTGAGCGGCTCAAAAAAGGGCTTTGAAAATTGAACTAATTCAGCAATTACTGGAGATGTTTAAGCTGGCAGAACGTGTGTGGAATGACTACGGGATGTGAGAGGAAAACATCGGCTCATTCACACACTGTTCACAAACCTAGTGAGCGAACTACATAGGCAGCATTTTAAGGGCCAGATGTACTTAACAGGGCAAATTAGCGAGAGACTGCAATCCCATAAAAGAGCAGATGGGAGTGGAGGTGATCTACTGACAATGTGCAAATTAAGAAGAAGGGAAAGGGAAAGTTCAGCTGCAAAAATAACTGTCAAAACCTTTTCATCGCTAATTTCTTCACTGTGTGTCTTTAGTAAATCCTGACAGTAGTTTTAAATGACAAAATAGGGTCTGGGCTGAAGCAAGCTGTTAGTAAATCGGCCTCTAAGATGACATGGAGTCTGTTAGACTGGAAAACTGTTTTCAAAATATTTCCATGTATTTCTTGCAGTGAATCTCTAATTTGAGTTTGAGAACAGATCGTGATTTGAACAACATATTCAGTGATTATATTGTATATCATATTAATCTGTGTTGAACACGTGTGCTGGTGTTGAAGTTTGAGTGTTTCTATAGAGCGAACTATAGAATGGACTCTAATAAATCAGCTGGACCTTGATTATTTACACAATGACATGAAAATGAGAAACGGTAGTAATTAAGAGCTAAAATTAGGATTGACAGTCAGCTTTCATATTTTAATCTTTTTTTTTAGTAATCATTTTAACTAAGAAGTGTCATTTGATCAAATCCATTGATGATTTTTGTGCTGTTGATTTTCCATTAGGAACATTTCAGGAAATAACATTTCCTGTAGGATTATGTCATTCAGGAACTAGCTTTAGTTAGTTAAAGAGATTTTTAAAAACAGGATGGAAAGTGATATTGACGCAATATTGAGTGATTAATGATTTAATACAACTTTATCATCAAAGCATATAAAATCAATTGAATTACTAAAAACTAACAGTTTAATAATTTATAAAACATTTAGCAATATTGAAAATTCCATTTTATTTTTCCCAATATATGTGTTGTTGTCCTATTAAATTTGTCTGGATTCACTTTCATTATGATTTAATACAACTATAATATAATCATCAACACCATCTGTGGTAAACGAATAAATTCATAAAACGTTTAAATGTACTCTTTTGGCGTGGTTAATAAACAGAACTGGCTGCCTCTTGCAGAAGAACACTGTAACCGAAGCTTCTTTCCTCTCTTTATCTATATGACGAGTCTCTGTCTAAAATAGTCAGAATATAAACAATTATTATAGGTGTATCGTAGTGATTCAGGATAAGACAAACTCATAATTTTTTAACAAAAAAAGGTTACATTTTGTGTACCTTTAAAATAAAACCAGATGTTTATGCTGCTGAGTTCCCACAAAAGTGATGTCACTTCCTGTAGGATGATGTCATTCAGGAACTGACTTTTGCGAAAGATTAGGATTTAAAGCGATATGGATGTCACAATGCCTATAATCAATATAGCTTGAAAAGAAAACTATAAATTGATTTAATAAAACGTAGTTTACTTTATTTATTGATTCAGTATTTCCACATATGATATACATCATGGGCTTCACAGAAGGAATGACTCGCGTGATGCAGACGTTCCTCGTTTCACTCACTGAAACCCAGCGTTACTATCTCACTATCTGAGCTTTTTGTTGTGCCCTTGAAAAATGAATCGCATTTTCCAGTCTCGCAAATCTGTTTACTATTCATCATGAAACACGCTTGAAGTGTCGCTCGCTCCTCCTTTGTAGTAAATTGAAACATTCAGAGTGTTTTGTGCTCAAATGAGATGAGATTTCTGGGAATGGCTTGTTCTATGGCGATTGCGTTGTTGTAATTTGAAGAAAATAACACGTCTGATCTGAGAAATATGGAAAACGCTCACAAAAGTCATCAAATTAAATGAATGCTTTGTTGCTGACTTCTGAGGATTCGTGATTACGTTTAATTGCAGTGTTCATGCAGTGTTCGTTAGCTGAAATAATAGACAGGAAGCTTAGCCTGAGGAGCCCTGAGCGCCGTTTCCAGTCCCCAGAGTGCCGGCTCTCTCCATTTCTCACAGATATCCGCTCATCTCCGCCCTACTGGCAGTCTACAGCATGTAAATGATCTGCGGCGGGATTCAGGTGCAGGTACTACTGAGATCTGATCTGGGAACGGTGTCATGTGTAGATGGCAACGGCATTTATGTGCAAATATGGGGAATTCTAGTCATTCTGTCCTAATCAGCATTTTTATTTACTGGGAATCTTTAAAGACACACACACACACACACACACACACATGTCTGGTTTACTATCTTTGTGAGGACTCTCCATAGATGTAATGGTTTTTATACTGTACAAAATGTATATTCTCTCCCCTTACACTGCCCCTATCCCTAACCCTACCCATCACAGGAAACATTCTGCATTTTTACATTTTTTCAAAAAAAAAAAAATTCTGTATGATTTATAAGCGTGTTTACCCATGGGGACCTCAATTTAGGTCCCCACAGTGACACGAGTCCCCATCAGTCTGTGTTCATTCAGGTTTAAGTCCCCACCGTGATAGAAAAACATGTACACACACACGTTGGGTTTTCATGTTTTATGGGGATTTCCATAGATATAATGTTTTTATACTGTACAAACTGTATCTTCTATCGCCCTACACTAACCCTACCCATCACAGAGAACTTTCTGCATTTTTACATTTTCAAATAACATCACTTAGAATGATTTATAAGCTGTTTTCCTCATGAGGACCAAAAAATTTCCTCACAAGGAAAAGGATTTCGGATATTGCCGTCTTTGCGGGTGATATGGGTTTACCAGGCCACACATCCACAAAGATAGTAATACCATTTGTTTGGCCCCATGAGAAAAATGGCTTATAAATCATACAGAATGGTTTAAAAAAAAAAAAAGAAGAAAAAAAAAGTAGAAATGCCAAAGTTTTTTGTGATTTAGTAGGTAGGTTTAGGGGATAGAATATACAGTTTGTACAGTATAAAAATCATTATGTAAATGGATTGTCGCCATAAAACATGAAAACCTGTGCGGGTGTATGTATTAATAACTATAAAAAATTCATGTGGCACTTCATTTCACACTGAAAAAGTGAAAGGTAAATAAAAACCTTTTTTACAAAATGATTCATTAGTATTATAATTATCAACGCATGGAAAACCTGTAAATATCAGGGAGACATAAAGCTGTTTTAATATATTAATCTAAGGAATTGGTGCCTGACAGATAAATGGACATCCTCTTTTGCAGTTTCTACATTTAAAAAAATTCAACTTAAAAACGTAAGTTCAGTTGCTGCCTCAATTTTTTTTAAAGTATAATCAGAGACTATTTATAATCAACTTAGTTGTACAAGTCACTTAAATTATATTAAACTGACTTAAAAAATGTAAAAACATAAGGTGCCTTGACTCATTTTTTACAGTGTATGTAATTTTAAAATGCACTTATGCAGTTTTCATGAGTCTCAAACACTCATTGGTCAGATTGTGTTAATGAAGCGTGTGTGTTTCTCTCCAGCGTCTCTGCTGAAAGGCCTGAAGCATTCGAACATAGTGCTGCTCCACGACATCATCCACACGAAGGAAACCCTGACGCTGGTGTTTGAGTATGTGGTGAGTATCAGACATGCTGACCGGATGAAAATCAAACCTCTGCTGGCGGACAACGGCTCGCATTTGATTATTTTATAAATAGTTTTTAATTCATTTTATTTTCTGTAACTCCACTCCAAAATGTCAGAGTACTTTTATGTCACGTAACCACACATCTACTGTTCCTGGGCCTCATGGAGCTGGTCTGGTCTCCTGTTTCTGAATAGTTTTGAAAGGTTTAAATGTGCTTTAGTCAGCATTACTTTACCCCGGGATTTTTCTTATGCTTTGAACCTGGTGCCTGAACCGATCGGCCTCTTTATATGTGCCCGATCCTGCAGCTCTGGCACCGTTTTTATTAGCAAACTGTTTTTCTAACTCTTTCAAAGCCCTGCTCTTCATCTGTGGCTCACAGCGACGGGAACGTCTCACTGTTTTACACACAGACCTGCAATGAGACGCAGCCGCAGGCGTCAGAGCTGCGAATTGAAGCACATAGGAATAATTCAGCCATTTACTCGCCCTCGTGTCGTTCTGTCCCTGAATGACTTTCTGTCTTTCTTTCTTCTTTGAAACACAAAAACAGATTTCAGGCAGAATGTCCAAGCTTCTGTTTTCCATATTATAATGCAACTGCACAGTGATTTATACTGTCAAGCTCTAGAAATCACCTTTAAGACGTACAGACTATACTTTTTTAAGTGTTCTAAAGTCATAGTATAGATTGAAAAAATAAGTGTTTAAGTTTTGAAATAAGAACTGTGGTCCTAGTCACTTCCTACTAATTATAATAACATGAAATAAACATGAATGAACATCCGAAGATATGTTGTTTCAACCACGGAAATTCGTCAATACACTCACAAGTCCGCCGACGTACTAACTCTCCTGTCTGGTTTGTTTGACGGAGAAAAATGGCGGATTCAGCGTTATGATTATAGTCACATCACCTGTCAATCACACTCTTGAGTTCCGGATGTAAAAACTCCATTCATTTTTTCCATAGGGGAACTGATTTTGAATGGTAACTTATAAACCTTTTAAAGACAGACCTACTGTGAGCTAAGGTTGTTAGTTGATAGCATTTGCTTCTGTTGAAGCCATCAGCGCATTATTTCAGCTTTTTTTTTATTTAACAGCAGAATTCCTAGTGATGAACTACATTACCCATGATGCTGCACAGAAAATTACACCAAACAGAGTATAAAAAAGCAACACGCTCCAAAATAGCTCTTCAGTTCCACCCACTCCCAAATGAGTTCTTTTATATTTCTCTATTGTTTTTAATTCGATTATGCTGTTCTCAATGCTTCATGGGATTGTAGTTCCTTCCCTCATTAAAACTGTTAAGTTAACAGTCTTGTATCTTTGTATTTTTGTTCGATTTTCAAAAACTTTTTTGCTTCAAATCAAGGTCTGTAGTGTTAGGAATCACCTCATGACTTATAGCTCTTTAATGAAGAATATTTTTAAATCCCTATGAGAAAAATTTATGAAAAAACTTCTGGAACCAGTGCAGCTGAAAAAGGGGGCAGGCTCTGTTGCACTATAACTATATTTTTTAGGCAAACTATTCCTTTAATGAAAATGAAGGTGTTCAATCTGAAAGTTATATGCAAAAATAGGGAGAGATATAAAAAGTTTGCAGATTGTAAGGTTGTGAATGTGAGAAGGATGTTAGGAGCACTAGTGTGATAAATCATTACAGTTCCCATTTGCCTCTGCGCTCTATTAAAGGTCCCGCTTGTCTGAAGCAGGTACAGAAATGCCAGTTTAATTGTTAATGAGCCTCCGGGACGATCCTGTAGGGAACGTCTGGTCAGGAGGTTCAGCTTCTCTTCCCTGCTGGGAAAAAATCAGCAGCCTAAGGCTGGTTCTGGCTGGTTTCACGTCTCTTGGATTTTATTTTATGTTTGTTGTACATTTTTGATAATTATATATAATAACTAAATAAATTAAAAGAAAATTAAAATAAATAACTTAAATGACATTTATTTTTATTATTTATTAGAATTTTTTTTTTTTTATTGGATATGATGCCATCTGTTTTTTGTGAAAATTGTGCTTTATAGTTTAAATCCATGAAGAGCTCAAGACTTGTGCACAATGATAAAATTAGTTTTTGACAAAGGTTAAAATAAATGAGAAGCGTTGTGAAAGCACAGTAACGGCGTTCACAGATCCAGACAGGATTTCTCACAGGAACCCCTGAGTTAGATGTTAAACACATTTGATTTAGATAGATTTTTTTTTCTTTTTACTACTTTCCTTTACTTCCAGTTTTCTTCTGCTGTAGTGTTCACTCATGAATACTGATCTGTACAGTAAGCAAAAGCAGACACTGAGCTGAGGGTCAGGAGAACATGCACTAACTCAATAACTCAATGCTTTCATGTTCTCAGCGAATGCTGTTCTTAACATAAAAATAATTGTCCACTCAAAGGATGCACTTGATTTTAATAAAGTGCACTTTTAAATTGACAGGAGCTAATTGGTCCTAGGGAAGGAAAGAGAAATGCCAAGAAAACCGGTTGTAGGTTTAAACTTGATTTGATGCATCATGCTAGAAAAGAGCATTTGTTAAATGTGTTTTCTCTGAATGTCAATGCACATTGTGACACTGCCTCCCGTCATTGATCCGTGTCACAGTCTAAAGGGAAGATTGGTGCCTTCCCTGATTAGCTTTATATTTTGTGCTATTTTTGCATCTCTGATATAACTTATTACCTTATACTCTGGTAAACAGTGTTTTTTTTCCAGGAATGTATCCTCTCGCTGAATTGGATGAGCGTGAAATTGCGGCTTGAGTCTGATTTATTCATGAGAGCTAAGCAAACACGCCGGGGTGTCAAAGAAAACAATCAAAACGCTAAGATTGGACAACGGCTCAGCTATTGATAGCTTTGGTCCGTTGAGAGATACGAACCATAGCTTAGTTATTAATCTGAGACCACCGCTGTGATCTCATCAGAGTCATTTCGGTGAGAAAATGCACTCGGGCTGAATGCGGACGCATTTAGATGCGGGCCGCGAACAAACAGAGGGTTTCGCAGTGAGGAAATCAATTCATTTTCCACGGCGAGCAGTTAATAATGATTGACGGCGACGGACAGGCATATCTGAAGCCCGCTTGAGTGAGAGACTGCATTATTCATGAAAGGAAACGCGTTTATCCGCGGTGCGGGACGGGTAGCAGCGGGTGTTTGCAAATATCAGCGGCCCTCCAACGCCGCAGGTCTGTGGGCAGAATAAAGGCTGAGGAGAGCATCGTGGGGAATTCTTTCTCCCGTCGACTGTATTTACATGCACAGCCACACGGCCCACAAAGCCTCTCGCACCTTCAGACAATCACGTTATTGAGCCTGTAGAAAGAGGCCGAGAGCTTCTGGTCTCACCAATACAGGGAATTATTTCAGTTTGACACACTGGAAGTGTTTGTGAAGCCATCCGTTTGCATTCTATATATATTAGGGCTGTTGATTTAATGAGTTAATTGAATTAGATAGTCATGGAATTATTAGATTATTAATGCATGTTTTGCCCCGAATAGCACGAGTGCAACAGTTAATAAATAAGAAGTTAATATTGTTATAATTTAGACAATAATTTGCTCAATTTTGAATCCCCGTTTTGAGCGAATCAATCGGGTGAACCAATGATTCAATGGCCCATTCATAAAGACAGACATGGGCCCTGTCCCGAATGGCACACTTCATATGCACTTTCGGTCTTGTGGACTTAGTTACAATGGCTGCAACATGCGCGTGTCTGTTAAGTCCATGAGACCGTAGGGTGTCCCATCTGTCATTTTAGGTCTCAGAAGGGTGCTCCCGAGCATCCCCTTTTCGGTCGATATGCGCCCTCGATGCGCACCTTTGCCGAGCCCGCACTGATGCAAGCCATAGATGCGAGATCCGCAGTAGACTTCTTCCCGCCAGTCAAAGTGGCGTTACGGCACGAAAGTGCGGACTCAGAAGAAGACCACGAGTGCTTAGGGTGTCATTTGGGACAGGGCCGCTGTGTCCTTCCTAGTCCAGACCTTCGGAGGCTTGATTGTATGTTTGTGTGTGTATATATATATATATATATATACACACACCAATCACGGGTACCTAAGAAGTGAAAGTAAACAAGAGAAGCGGGGAGAGAAACAAAGAAAACACACACGCAACACAGGGACGTAACATATATATGTAGGCTACACAATAAAAAATTGTCTATTTTAGTATTTTGAAGAAGTTCACTAGATTTTGTTTAGAGTCTGTGTCTCCTGGCGCTGCCTCATGTCCCTCTTCTCTCTCTCTCTCTCTGTTCAGCACACAGATCTGTGTCAGTACATGGACAAGCATCCCGGGGGTCTCCATCCGGACAACATCAGGGTGAGTGAGATCCTGGTCACTTTGTTTGCTTTGTTTTATCAAGCTTCTTTTAGGGGATTTTGTGATGAAATAGTTCTGGTCAATGGTTGTTCAGTATTTAGTTGTGCTGTTGTCACTTTATTTTATTTTTTTATTCATTTAATAAACATATTATTTTTTAACTTATAAGATCTAGTACGCAACCTGGCAAAATCAGAGAAATTGTCGCTGGTTTTATGATGGTCATAGCATTGAATCTTTCAAGCTTTTTTTCTCCCCGCATTTTCTCCTTGCCTCTAAATGCCATCGGTGGCTTGATTAGCTTGTAGTGTTTGTTTCTTTTGCAGTGTGGATCGGTCTAGTGAGACCATTGTTTCTCGTGGAGTGTACGGTTCTGATTCTGACGCATGGATTGAGTATTTTTCTCAGTCTTGGGTAAAGACCTTCCAGGCCACTCTGATTTCTGTTCCGTTCTGCAATCAGAAGTAGAGCAGAAGTCGTGTGAGTTCAGACTGTGACCCATTTTACCGGCTTCCTCGTCCTCATCTGCCAGTCTGCGTGAAGTCTCTTCAGTTGAGCTCAGATAATCAGACCAGAACCAATGATTTGATCTTTTAAAATGACTTTTGAATGCTGCTTGTGCTCCTCCAGCGAGCGTCTGGCCTGTAACGCGACACTTTCGTGCCCATGTTTAATTGAGCAGTAAGACCACACACTCGCAGAGAAAGTGCAGTGTGTTTTCTGACTTCAGAATGTTTTCTTAGAGTTCAGAAGGAAGAAACGACCTGGGAGAACAGACTTGCGTTTGTCATTTTTGGAATGTCAAAATATTTTCTCATAACCCAATTTAATCTGCACTTTTAATACAGTATACCATATTTTCCGTAATATACGTTTATTTTTTTCATCTGAAATGTGCTGCGACTTAAGGCTGTGACACACCAAGCCGATGCTAAAGAACTAGCGGAGACTCGTTGATTCTCTGATGTTTACAGCAAAATGCTTTATGTGCAAATGCTTCCTCTTAGTACTGTTGGCTAGTTAAAGGAGAACTCCGGCGCAAAATGAACCTTTGGTCTAATTACACATTGTTACCTTGTCAACCGTTATCTGAGATTTGTTTTCATGATTATCGAATGTAAATAGTTTTATCTCTAAAAACAGTTTAGCCTATAAAGCTAGTATAACGCTAGTATATTGGGCATAGTGTAATGACAAATAAAAATCGCTTGTTAATACCACTAACAAGGCTGAAAATAGACCCACACTAACACGGTAGCATAATGAGGGTCCCTACCTTCAAACCGAAGCATTGAGAACTTTGTCAGTGTCCAGACAGTTTAATAAGAAGATATTTTAATCATACAGTCAACTTCGCGTATACAGACAGGAGCCATCTTTGAAATACAGCCTTTACCAGTCGATCTACGAACGCCGATCCAAGCCTGCTGTTCGCGCTCACCTTATCACAACTTATAGCTCGTTCACATTCTCACCAGCGCACTTGGATCGGCGTTCGTAGATCGACTGGTAAAGACTGTATTTCAAAGATGGCTTCTGCCTGCATACGCGAAGTTGACTGTATGTTTAAAATATCTTCTTATTAAACTGTCTGGACACTTACAAAGTTCTCAATGCTTCGGTTTGAAGGTAGGGACCCTCATTATGCTACCGTGTTAGTGTGGGGCTATTTTCAGCCTTGTTAGTGGTATTAACAAGCGATTTTTATTTGTCATTACACTATGCCCAATATACTAGCGTTATACTAGCTTTATAGGCTAAACTGTTTTTAGAGATAAAACTATTTACATTCGATAATCATGAAAACAAATCTCAGATAACGGTTGACTAGGTAACAATGTGTAATTAGACCAAAGGTTCATTTTGCGCCGGAGTTCTCCTTTAAGCTGGAGAAATGCATTTATGAAAATGCTGAGAGAACCCTTTGCGTTTCTTTGTGCAACAAGAAAATGTCACTGTAAATGTTCATTTTGCATCGCCAAAGTTGATATACACAGGCATTTTGCTCCTGCTGGTGGATGTTGTAACGACACCAATTTGCAGGCCAAAAGCTTCAATCTCTATTGACGCATGCATTTAAAAGTAGTCGTATTTTCGGATGAGTAATTGACTGTGGTTTTTACTTGATTTATTTGACATAAATGGACAAAGTTTTTATATGGTAAAAATTCTCCTTGAAATCAATAAAAAAGTGAATTCATGACAATGCTTGCAATGATTTTGTATAAAGTTGCTGTGAAATGAGAGTAATTTATGGTGTGTCAGAGTGAAAGTAAGACGTGATGGAGCGAATGAGGCCATGGAGCAGAAGGCTGGCGGGGAAGCGGGTGTTGCTTATGTAATTCATCAGGTTTTTGTCACTGTGGATTTACATAAATAAAGTATTTATCCCGTTCGCTCCCTCATTGAAATTCAAACCAATAGAGGATTCATGATAAATGACAAGCTGACAGAGAGAGAATGAGAGCGGCTCACCTGAAACAGGAATGGCCCGCAGTCAGAGCCGAGATGTTTCCCTTCGTTCAGTGTTTGCACAGAGATCCGTTTCCAGACGGCTGTAATTTTGGCACATCAGTTCACAATGCCGTGTTGTTGAGCACTCGTTCCCTGACAGGCTGCAAGTTACACCGGTTTCACAACCCTTAAAGAACAGAGCGATGTCACCAGGATTCCTCTGGTTAAATGATATGTATAGGGACAGTGAGATTCGGAGAATCATTTTATGGCTAATATAATGTCCTATTTCTCATGCATTTAGAGCAGTTACGCGTCCTCCACTGAACACCTGGAGAACTTGGCTTAGAAGACCTCGGACTGCTACTTGTGCTACTTTTGGCAAATAGTTCACCAAAAAAGTTACAAAATAAGCATTTTTACTTAGCTGTATTTTCAGGATATTGAGCAATTAACAAAGTTTTATCTGGGCATTATCTGTGTTCACTGAGAACGATTGAAACGGTTCAACTTTTGGAGTCCAATAAATGTAGATCTTAAAACATTGGACCATTAGATCAGTCTACCATATACTGTGTGTGTGTGTGTGTGTGTGTGTGTGTGTGTGTGTGTGTGTGTGTGTGTGTGTGTGTGTGTGTGTGTGTGTGTGTGTGTGTGTGTGTGTGTGTGTGTGTGTGTTAGGGCTGCACGATTTGGGGAAAATTTCATATTGCGATTATTGAGGTCAATATTGCGATATGCGATTGCGATATAATAAAAAAATGGTTTCATGAGTCAACTTGCTTGGTTCTAAAGCAAAATGCACACACAGATTAGTGATAATTCTGAAATGTGTATTTCTCAAGTCAACTCAAACTAGAAACAACAACTAAATGATTGATAACACCTATAATGATCAAAAAGCCATTGATGTCTGGATAAAAATTAATTTAATTTTAATTTAAGTGAACTTCAAACGATCCTCACATAAACCCATAATAAATGTCATATTTACCTGTGCTCTTCCTGTCTAACAGTACAGAAATTGAATAAAGTTATCAAACAGTCTGCCCTGCATAAATTATAAATTATATGGACTAAAATCCTATTTAAAGCTACACAAGTTCTTTGGTCAAGAGCAGTGAGTGTTTTTCTCTGTTCCCTTTGTTCTTTGATTAACTTTACTGACAGAAAGCATTATTGGATGCTGGCCCTTTAAGGGCCCTTACATAGTCAACGCATCGATACGCATACACGTGCGCAAGGCTACACATCGCTACGCTTCGGCCGCCATTATGCGTCGATGCGTAGCCAAATGTGTCATCCTAGTTTTTGATACGCGACGCGCCGATGCACGCAATACTATGCGTTGTCGGTGGGGGCGACATTGCAAGTAATGTACATAAAAAGGTATATTATTATGTTTACAGAAGAAGAAGATTTGAATACAATGGCGGGCGAAGAGGAAAAGTTATGCGAGCTTGTTCGTATACATCCTTTGTTGCCGCCGATGTAAAATCAGCAATATGCACTCCTCTTCAGTTGCCATTTTGATCTGAATATTACGTGACCCGACTCTAGACTCTACTACCCCCTGCTGCGCGATCGGTGTATTGCATTTCACGCATCGCCGGTGACGCTTGTGTACTATGAAAAGGAGCGCGTCGCTCGCGTTGCTTGCTCGCGTTGCTCGCGTTGACTATGTAACGGCCCTAAGAGTTGCTGACAGACGCGGATCTCACACGCGCCTTACGCCGGGTTCACACCGGACGCTGAAGCGACGCGGAACGGAAATTCACGCGCGGTCCGGCGCGTGCCTGTTCACACCAGACGCGTGTTCTTCGCGGAGGTCGACAAGCGCTTCTGCTCAGTTGTTTATTCAGAGCTATTTTTTTTTTTACATCATGGGTAAGTAAATAACCTCATAATATAAATACAACATGTTTCTGTAACCAAGAAGTTTGTGCCTCTCCCTCTCGTTGTTTCCGTTTGTTTGTGTGTTCGCATTTGTCACTCGCGGTATTTTAATTTGAAAATTGCTTTTATTTTGACAATTGACCGGATAGTCGAGTGTTTCTTGGTGTAACTTCCTTCCGGAATTGACGCGGATCACTCGCGGCTCGCGGAAAAAATAGACCAGACGCCGAAACTGGCGCTTCACGGCGCGTGCCGCCTGCGCCGCGCCGCGGCGCTCCGCGTCTGGTGTGAACGACACCATAGGTTAACATGGGCGCCGAAAGGAAGCGGCCTCCGTTCCGCGCCGCTTCCGCGGCGCTTCAGCGTCCGGTGTGAACCCGGCGTTATTCTCTCACAACTCTTTACGACCATCATAAGACTGCTCTTATGTTATGAAGACACTCGACAAATGATATTTTGGCATAATTGTGTGTGTTATTGTTCGTTCACTTCAAGCGGAAAGAGAACTGTATTCTGGCGCGCGGTCTGTGCATGCGCATGATACTGGCGCGCGTCTTTCAGTCAGGACATTCACAGGCAGCGCGCTCTCTTTTGACTTGTCTCGCTGAATGGTTTAAACTTTAAAGCATTCGCGTGAATAAGAGCGGGAT